CACCATCCCAGGACCTTCAGGGTGGCTTTGACGGCCGAGGGATCCATTCTTCTCCTTCTTCTTCTTCCTAGAAGGAGAGAGTCTGTGTCGCCGGCCGCACTCCTCTCGCTATAACCTCCCTGCGTGGGTTTCCTTACGATCACACAAACCCTTCATCTTTGGCTCACCGCAGGCCACAGGGAAGAAAACCACAAGGGAGTTATTTGTGGCCTTTTTTTCCGCCAGGAGTTGATGGGTTTGCCTCTGAGCCCTTAAATTATATCCAGCCCTGGAAATAAAAATCACCAAGTAATTCGACCTCTGCTAAGTGCTAGGGCTAGGCCGATATCTGGTTTTCAACACTGGGATGTATCAGCAGCTAAATATCGTGATATACCGATATCAGAACCTCCCAGTGTCCCTATTTTCCAGGGATTGACAGAAGCCGTCCCGGTTTCTGATTTGATCGCAGAATGTCCAACTTTTTCTTACGACGTCCCTATTTTCAGGGGAGAAATGTTGGAGGGGATGGAATAGGACGTCCCTATTTTCAGAGGAGAAATGTTGGAGGGGATGGAGTAGGACGTCCCTATTTTCAGGGGAGAAACGTTGGAGGGGACGGAATAGGACATCCCTATTTTCAGGGGAGAAATGTTGGAGGGGATGGAATAGGACGTCCCTATTTTCAAGGGATAAACGTTGGAGGGGATGGAATAGGACGTCCCTATTTTCACTGGAGAAACGTTGGAGGGGATGGAATAGGACGTCCCTATTTTCATCCAAGAATCCCCAGTGTGTCAGTTTTGAATAATAATAATAATAATAATAATAATGCGTTACCCGAAGCAACACCAGGAAGGCTGCTATTCCGTAGCCCTGCCTCCTGGTCTCCCCTCTCCTGTTCTTCCTCTTCCTTTCAGATTTGCTCAGCGATAAGCAGGATCCCTTCCAAATTCAGTCGGATACGCAGCTCCTCTCCGGAGAATGACCTGTTTATCCGTGCGCAACTTTGGGAACGGGTGAGCTCTTTTTCCCGGCCTTTTGGGTGCCCTCCGTTCCAACTCCCTGAGGGGCTCGGAGAAGCGGGTGGGGAAGACCTTTCGGGCCGCTTTTTGCGTTTTTGGGGTACCCCCCCACTTTGCACCCACTCCAAACCATGGAAGAGAAGGAAAGCTCTCCCAGTCTCCGCTGGGGGAAGCGCAAACTCTGGCTCGCCGTGGCTGCGTTGGAATTCGCCGCCATCCTCATCTTGGTGGCCGGGCTGGCGCATTTTGCTGCGCACCACGAAAGGGCAACGGAGGCAGGGAACTGGGGAGAGGGCAGCAACGCCACCAGCAGCCTGGCCTCCCTGGGAACCGTGAACCGGACCCTGCAAGCCGCCGCAAAGCGCTGGGAGTCGTGCCAGAACCTCACGGTAAGCCGCAAAGAAAATCGCAGGAGGGATGCGGGAAAAGGGAGAAAGGGACTCGGAAGGAAATGTAACGGATAAGTTTGTAAACAGGTTGGAATTGGATACGCGGTCGCAAGAAGATGCAAAATAAGGGCTGGGAGGGCAGAGTGAAGCCAAAGGAAACGTCCATTTGTTTTGCGTAAAGTCTGTGTTGCTAAAATATCTGCGAAACGCGATAATATAGGCGGTTGCAATCGGAATTATCCAAACCCCACCTTGCAAATCTGGTTGATTCTCAAAGTTTGAAGGGTTCCGGGTGTTTGCAAGGAGCAAATATAAGGAATAATAATAATAATAATAATAATAATAATAATAATAATAATAATAATAATAATAATATCTGAAGAAGTGTGCATGCACACAAAATCTCATACCAATAACTAACTTAGTTGGTCCCTAAGGTGCTACTAGAAGGAATTTTTTTTAAAAATTTCATTTCATTTCATTTGCAGTGGTACCTTGGATTACATACGCTTCAGGTTACATACGCTTCAGGTTACAGACTCCGCTAACCCAGAAATAGTGCTTCAGGTTAAGAACTTTGCTTCCGGATAAGAACAGAAATCGTGCTCCTAACAAGCAATAATAAAAACAAGTAATACAGAACGGTTTGCAGAAAAACCAAAACGAGAAAGGATAAAGATAAAATTCAGTATAAAACAAACAACCTGACATTCAGAAGACATCTTAAGGCAGCCCTGTTCTGGGAAGATTTTAATGTGTGACATTTTAGTGTACTTTTGGTCTCTGTGGAAGCCGCCCAGAGTGGCTGGGGAAGCCCAGCCTGATGGGCGGGGTACAAATAATAAATTATTATTCTTATAATTATAATTTAAAACAGCAGCAGAAAACATAAAATCTGAATCCTGGAAATGTTTACTTAAATAGTCTTAATTTTATTTATTTTTTAAAGATGTTTGCGCCAAAGGGGCGAGGTAAATTTATTTTGGGAAGCTGATTCTTCTCCTTGTTCCCACCGATTTTATCTCTCGTTTGCTATTGATTTTCTTGTGCCTTGTAATATAGAAAGGCGATATGCAAATTAAAAGTGAAAGGAAATCTTTTTTTCTCTCTTGCCTCGGGGGCAGAGAGCTCTAGAAGCCAACACCTCCAGCCTGAGCTCCGAAATGACCCAGATCAAGACCCGCTTGCGCCTGAAGGAACTGGAAATTAAAGGCCTGGAAGGTGAGATTCGGGGATGTCCAAAAGGTTTGGGAAGATCCTAGGAAGAGGTGGTTTGGGGCTGGAGGGGGGCGAGGAGCAGAATGCAGAACTGGGATCTCAGGCTCGGCGGCCCCCCAGACCTCTCCACGTGGCCCTCGGGGGCCTCTCCCCAGGCCACACCCATTTCTTAAGCCACACCCCTCACCTGCTCTACCCGGCAACCTCCCCAAGTGCCATATCTATCATCTATCTATCTATCTATCTATCTATCTATCTATCTATCATCTATCTATCATCATCTATCATCTATCTATCTATCTATCTATCATCTATCTATCTATCTATCATCTATCTATCTATCTATCTATCATCTATCTATCTATCTATCTATCATCTATCTATCTATCTATCTATCTATCATCTATCTATCTAATCTATCTATTATCTATCTATCTATCTATCATCTATCTATATCATCTTCTATTTATCATATGTCTATCTATCATCTATCTATCTATATCTATCTATCATCTATCAGTTTTACATAAAGGGTAAACACCAATAAAGTATTTGAAGGTTATTTGAAAGTTGATGGGCATCGCCATTCAAATGGCCTTTGGTGTTTTGGGGGAATGAAAACTGCCCTCTTTTTCCCATTTCCCAGACGAGGTCACACTCCTGAAAGGTGCTGTTGGGGGTGGGTTGGTGAGCAATGAGGCACCTGGTTCTGTTCTGGTGAGGTTAGGGCCAGTGTCCCCATTTTCCAGGGACAGCGCCGGATTGACAGAAGCTGTCCCGGTTTCTGATTTGATCCTGAAATGTCCTGCTTTTATTTAGGACGTCCCTATTTTCATGGGAGAAACGTTGGAGGGGATGGAATAGGACGTCCCTATTTTCATGGGAGAAACGTTGGAGGGGATGGAATAGGACGTCCCTATTTTCAGGGGAGAAACGTTGGAGGGGATGGAATAGGACGTCCCTATTTTCAGGGGAGAAACGTTGGAGGGGATGGAATAGGATGTCCCTATTTTCAGGGGAGAAACGTTGGAGGGGATGGAATAGGATGTCCCTATTTTCAGGGGAGAAAGGTTGGAGGGGATGGAATAGGACGTCCCTATTTTCAGGGGAGAATCAATCAATCAATCAATCAATCAATCAATCAATCAGTAGCTGAACTGGGTTCCACATAGTCACAAAAACAACTGATCCGAAAAGGCCTCAAAAACAAAAAACACAAAACAAAGAGCAAAGACAAAAGCGCCAAACTTGATCCATTCCGGAAGTCCGTTTGACTTCCAAAATGTTCGAAAAGCAAGGCGCGGGTTCTGATTGGTGCAGAAGCAATAGCCAACAGCCACGTTGGATGTTCAGCTTCTGAAAAATGTTTGCAAACTGGAACACACTTACTTCCAGGTTTTCAGTGTTTGGAAACCAAGGCATTTGAGTACCAAGGTGTTTGAAAACCAAGGTACCACTGTACTAGCGAACCGTAGGTTAGACGGACTCCTTGTGAGAGAATCGGGCACGTATCGTGCGACGCAGTCGATGCGCTGATTTGACACACCATTTTGAAAGGCCTTGGGGCGGCGCTTTCTCCATGAGCTGATTTCTTGCTCTCTGCCTTTCTCCATCACAGCAAACACCAGGAAGAAATCATCGCCCATCTTCGGCAGCAGCAAAGGAGGCTGCCAGCTAGCACTGGAATCCATCTCTATGGTGACCTGACATCTCTGTGGCTCACAATGGCCGTGGTACTCCTGGTTTGAGGAGCCAGAGAGGCAGAGAGGCCCACTGTCATTCAAATCAACAGATCGCCAACGTATTAAGTCCTAGCCTGAAAATGATGCACAGATGGTATTTAGCATCAGCTGTTGTTTAGTCGTGTCCGCCTCTTCGTGACCCCCTGGACCAGAGCACTCCAGGCACTCCTGTCTTCCACTGCCTACCACAGTTTGGTCAAACTCATGCTGGTAGCTTTGAGAACACTGTCCCACCATCTCGTCCTCCGTCGTCCCCTTCTCCTTGTGCCCTCCATCTTTCCCAACATCAGGGTCTTTTCCAGGGAGTCTTCTCTTCTCCTGAGGTGGCCAAAGTCTTGGAGCCTCAGCTTCAGGATCTGTCCTTCCAGTGAGCACTCAGGGCTGATTTCCTTCCGAATGGAGAGGTTGGATCTTCTTGCAGTCCATGGGACTCTCAAGAGTCTCCTCCAGCACCAGAATTCAAAAGCATCCATTCTTCGGCCATCAGCCTTCTTTATGGTCCAGCTCTCACTTCCATACATCACTACTGGGAAAACCATAGCTTGAACTATACGGACCTTTGTTGGCAAGCTGATATCTCTGCTTTTTAAGATGCTGTCTAGCTAAGCTTGCTAAAATGTACAAGACAAGAACCAATGAGTGTTGGAAATGTAAAGAAAGGGAAGGTTTATTCTACCACACCTGGTGGCCTTGTAAAGAGGTGAAGGCTTTCTGGGAAATGATATATGATGAGTTAAAGGGGTTTTTTTTTGGGGGGAGGGGTCTGGATCATGCTTCTTTCCCCAAAGAAGTCGCTTTTTACGCTTCGAATGTTCATATCTGCCATAGCAACTTCACTGGCATAGGCAGACAATACAGACTATGAGGAGGAAGAGGAAGAGGAGGAGGAGGAAGAAAAACACAACAGCCATCAACCAGGGGCTCTTGGTTATGTCAAAGGCAACATTTTGCTGCTGGTAATTCTGCCGTTCCACTTGCATCTGGTTTTGAACCCTGAAAAGACAAAGCGGTTGGGGAAATATTGGGTCAGTAGGGCTGCCTCTGGGGCGATGCAGTCCCAAATCAAATCTAGAACCTTTATTGGCATCACAATATAACACATTTCAAGTCACTGGGATCATTAAAAGGACGAAGGTGAAGCTATCAAGGGTTATAAGGACACAATATGGTCGCATGGAAAAAGATCCAACCTCTCCATTCAGAAGGAAATCAGCCCTGAGTGCTCACTGGAAGGACAGTTCCTGAAGCTGAGGCTCCAAGACTTTGGCCACCTCATGAGAAGAGAAGACTCCCTGGAAAAGACCCTGATGTTGGGAACAGTGGGGTAGCGTGGGTTGTCAGCACCCGGGGCAAGGCAAGTAATTTGCGCCCCCTAACCCGTGGATTTGCGCCCCCTAACCTGTGGATTTGCCCTAACCCCAGATGTTGCTCCCGGTGCGGCCGGCCCCCCCTGCACCCCCCACGCTACGCCACTGGTTGGGAAAGATGGAGGGCGCAAGGAGAAGGGGACGACGGAGGACGAGATGGTGGGACAGTGTTCTCGAAGCTACCAGCATGAGTCTGACCAAACTGCGGGAGGCAGTGGAAGACAGGAGGGCCTGGTGTGCTCTGGTCCAGGGGGTCACCAAGAGGCGGCCACCACTAACCAACTCAACAACAACAACATGGTCATGTGCATTTGGATGTTCTGCTACGTCCTGTCTATTTTCCGAAAGGATAACCCTTTTGGGTAGAATTGTGGCTAAAGAGGAAGCTACTAAGGCAGGAATATCTTTGTCCCGGTCTGCCAGGAGAAACCTCGCTTGGCTTCTTCTCGGAGTTATGGGTCGGAGGTCCGACATTTTGCTCAGCATCAGTTGGCGAGGTCTGCTGTGCAAAGGGAAATCTAAGAGAATGCGGTCCATTGAATCGGGCCCTCCTTATAGGACACAATATACAATTTGAGGACAGGGGAAAGCTGTGGAAGGTAGATTTGAAATTTACTGACTGAAAGAAAACTATATGAAAACGATGTATAGATGGTATAATAAATAAGTATCAATTTCTGTTATTGGTTGGTTGGTTGATAGATAATTTCCCAATAATCTTTTGCCTTGTTTCCATGGCCACCACATGTACATTAATGTTCCCTCCGCCCCTTGACACAATTCCTGCATAATTTGGATCCTTTTTAAATGCATTTTAACAAGCTTGCGAGGCATCAAGTACAGTGGTACTTTGGTTGCCAAATTTAATCCGTTCCAGAAGTCCATTCCAAAACCAAAGCGTTCCAAAACCGAGGCGCGCTTTCCCATAGAAGGTCATGCAAAATGGATTAATCCATTCCAGACTTTTAAAAACAACCCCCCAAACTGCAATTGAACATGGATTTTTACTATCTAACGAGACCACCAATCCATAAAATGAAAGCAAGAAGCAATGTACTGCAGTCACACAATCAATCTATCAGTTCCACACGAAAACAAAACGAAAAAGAACCGCAAAAATAAAAACGTAAAATAAATAGCAAAAAACCAGACACTCGAAACGCGGCACTCAAAACGGAGCACGTTCGGCTTCTTGAAAAAGTTCGCAAACCGGAACACTTACTTCTGGGTTTGCAGTGTTTGGGTTCCAAGTTGTTTTGGTACAAAGGTGTTTGAGAACCAAGGGAACACTGTACTCTTTTTTAGGGTTTTGGGATGCTGGATTCAGTGCTGGATTGGGCCCCCCAAAAAAATTTAAAGGGAAAAAAACCTGGGTGTCCATTTCCAAAATATAAGATAAAAAACATATAAAATAGAACCTACATGTAGCAGCAGTATTTTGTGTTGTGTAGGCTCCTGTGATGTAAGTCATGGGCCCCACCTGCTCGGCTGCTCCCTAAAATATCCCTGGTTTGCTTCTTTCTATATATAGGGTGGGGTCGTGGGTGGCGCTGTGGGTAAAAGCCTCAGCGCCTAGGGCTTGCCGATCGAAAGGTCGGCGGTTCGAATCCCTGCGGCGGGGTGCGCTCCCGTTGTTCGGTCCCAGCGCCTGCCAACCTAGCAGTTCGAAAGCACCCCCAGGTGCAAGTAGATAAATAGGGACCGCTTACTGGCGGGAAGGTAAACGGCGTTTCCGTATGCGGCTCTGGCTTGCCAGAGCAGCGATGTCACGCTGGCCACGTGACCCGGAAGTGTCTCCGGACAGCGCTGGCCCCCGGCCTCTTAAGTGAGATGGGCGCACAACCCTAGAGTCTGTCAAGACTGGCCCCTACGGGCAGGGGTACCTTTACCTTTATATATAGGGTGCCGACATTCTGGTTGCACGGCAACATGGGCAAATGGCTTAAGATACCTATTAGGTCCGTAAATTACCATATAGCATATATTACCTTCAGGAGCTGAGGGCCTCACCAAACCTAAATCCGGCCCTGGCAGGATTGTACGAAAGTTCAACCCACCCAGCAGGAAATGCAAAAGCAAATATGAACTCACCCTAGACGCTCTTACCATTGCTGGTTATTCCTCCAGCTCTCCAACTCTCTTTCTTGACTGGACAGCTGCTGCACAAGGCCGTCAATTTTCCCTTTGAAAAAGAAAGCAAAGGTCTTTCAGATTTCCCACCTATTCCACCTCGACAGATGACTTTTGGAAATCTCACTCTCTCTCCCCGCATGGCCAGGAATGGGGGATACCAGGCCTGTGGGAGAAATGCGGCTCCCATGGACTCTCTGTCTGGCCCCCAGGCCATCGGCTGCGGCTCCTTTGGCCAAGATCGTTGCATTGCAGCGGGTTGGGCTAGATGACCGCTGGGGTGCCCGTTCGTACTCTACAATTCCACGATTCGCATACTGCTTTTGCCTCAAGGGCCTTGTATGGCTTGACAAAGACCAGAACACCTGAGGCCCAAGGGAGCGCAGCTGCAACAGAAATTGTTCAACGCCACACCGTTGCAAAAGGGGTTTATTTATCAAAATTCCCAGACTGTCCGCCATTTGCAAAGGAGCCAAACATGTTCTTCACGTATGTTTTCCTGCGATAGTTAGCTGATTCCATGTCATCTTATGTATATAGAGAAAGAGGAAGAGAGGGAGGGAGGGAGGAGCGAAAGAAAGAAAGAAAGAAAGAAAGAAAGAAAGAAAGAAAGAAAGAAGAGAAAGAGAGGGAGGGAGAGAGAGAGAAAAGAGAGAAGAGGGGAGGAAGGAAGGAAGGAAGGAAGGAAGGAAGGAAAGGAGAGAGAGAGAGAGAGAGAGAAAGAGAAAGAAAGAAAGAAAGAAAGAAAGAAAGAAAGAAAGAGAAGGAGAGAGAGAAAAGAGAGAGAGAGAAAAAGAAAGAAAGAAAGAAAGAAAGAGAAGAGAAGAGAGAGAGAGAGAGAGAGAGAGAGAAAGAGAAAGAAAGAAAGAAAAGGAGAGAGAGAGAAAAGAGAGAGAGAGAGAGAGAGAGAGAGAGAAAAGAGAATCGAAGAAAGAAAAAGAAAGAGAGAGAGAGAGAGAGATATGATATTTTCTTTATAAATTAGCATCGTATAATTTTTAATTTTTTAAAAAGAAAGTAAATGTAATGAACTGGGACAGGTGTGGAAACCTCTGGTTTTTGCCTGGCGGAAACACGGCTTCCTTTGCGCATCTTTGCCTTCACACTCTTAGGGTGCGCTTCACAGTGAAGCATCGGATCGGCCCATTCAGTGGGAGGGAGAAAGCTGGACTTATTATGGGTTAGGGACAACCCAAAGCATCGTGGTGCTCAGCCGTCGCCATGACGCCATCTCTGCTGGTTTCTCACCTTGGAGCTTCTGGTTCTCCTGCTGTAGATTGTTCCTTTCCTTCTCCAGAGACGCAGTTTTTCCTTTTGTGCTGTCCTACAGCAGGAGAAAAAAATACATTGAAAATTGCGCCCGGAGGGGATTTCTGGTTCACGTCAACCATATAACCCCAGTCCTGAAAGACCTACATTGGCTCCCAGGACATTTCCGAACACAATTCAAAGTGTTGGTGCTGACCTTGAAAGCCCTAAATGGCCCAGTAGACCTGAAGGAGCGTCTCCACCCCCATCGTCCACCCTGGACACCGGGGTCCATCTCCCGAGGGCCTTCTGGTGGTTCCTTCCCTGCGAGAAGCGAGGTTGCAGGGAACCAGGCAGAGGGCCTTCTCGGTGGTGGCGCCTGCCCTGTGGAACACCCTCCCACCAGATGTAAAGGAGATAAACAACTACCTGACTTTTAGAAGACATCCGAATGCAGCCCTGTTTAGGAAAGCTTTTAATGTTTGATGTTTTGTCGTGTTTTTAATACTCTGTTGGGAGCTGCCCAGAATGGCTGGGGAAGCCCAGCCAGGTGGGTGGGGTATAAATAATAAAGGTAAAGGGACCCCTGACCATTAGGTCCAGTCGTGGACAACTCTGGGGTTGCGGCGCTCATCTTGCTTTAGGGGCCGAGGGAGCTGGCGTACAGCTTCCGGGTCATGTGGCCAGCAGGACTAAGCCGCTTCTGTCAAACTAGAGCAGCGCACGGAAACACCATTTACCTTCCCGCCGGAGTGGTACCTATTTATCTACTTGCACTTTGAGGTGCTTTCAAACTGCTAGGTTGGCAGGAGCAGGGACCGAGCAATGGGAGCTCACCCCGTCATTGCGGGGATTCGAACCGCTGACCTTCTGATCGGCAAGCCCTAGGCTCTGTGGTTTAACCCGCAGCGCCACCCATGTCCCAGATAAATAATAAATTATTGTTATTATTATTATTATTATAGGAGCCCCTTCCAGCTTCGAAGAGCCCTTATTTTTACCAGTTGCGCTTGGCAGGACATCCAGCGCTGTTGCGTCTCACCCAGGCTCTGGTTGGCAGCCGCCAGCTGGGTCTGCAGATCATTGCTGCCCTTAATCTCTTTCTCCAAAGCCATCTTGGTCTTCCTGAGGGTTCGGTTTGTAGCGGCCAGTTGCCTGTCACTCTCCATTCTCTGTTTCTCCATCTCCTTTTTCACGGCTCCCAGTTGTTCCTTCAGAGATTCCACCTCGGCCTGCAGTTGGGCTCGGTCACATTCTGGCTCCAAAACTGCCTGCGGTTGTTCCGAACGGAGCATAGTGATCCACAGAAGGCATTGGAGGACGATGACAGCTGCACACCAGAAATGGGTCTTGCTCCATGGCTTGGTGAAAGAGAGCCACTTGTTCTTCAGATCTTCTAGGGATCTGCGCATGGCCCGCTGCAGTTCATCCATGGAGAAGGCAAGTTGGGAAACACCAGCTTTCGACTCGAGCTTTCGAAACATGAGCTTTCAAATCTCAAAGAGTGATTCCTCCTGGCTCCCTCCGGCAACAAGATTTGGGCCTCCCTCCTCCCTCCGTTTCCGGGAATTTGTGAAATCCAGCAGCCGAGAGGAATCGAAACTGAACCAAGCCACTGCATTTATTTATTTATTTGGAAAGCACTGTTATAAGAAAAAAACTGCTCCTTTTCCCCTTATCCAAGAGCCAGTATTGAGTCCTTATGAGTGTGTGTCGTGTTTGTACAAACGGAATGATTGGGGACTTTACTTACCGTATTTTTCGCTCTATAAGACGCAACAGACCACAAGATGCACTTAGTTTTTGGAGGAGGAAAACAAGAAAAAAAAATATTCTGAATCTCAGAAGCCAGAACAGCAAGAAGGGATCTCTGCGCAGTGAAAGCAGCAATCCCTCTTGCTGTTCTGGCTTCTGGGATAGCTGCGCAGCCTGCATTCGCTCCATAAGACGCACACACATTTCCCCTTACTTTTTAGGAGGGGAAAAGTGAGTCTTATAGAGCAAAAAATACGGTAATTTGTTCTGGAGGTCCGTTCTTAACCTGAAATATTTCTTAACCTGAAGCACCACTTTAGCTAATGGGGCCTCCCGCTGCCGCTGCGCCGCTGGAGCACGATTTCTGTTCTCATCCTGAAGCAAAGTTCTTAACCCGAGGTACTATTTCTGGGTTAGCAGAGTCTGTAACCTGAAGCATATGTAACCCGAGGTACCACTGTATATAACTTAGAATTCCTATAACAGCATGAAAAGAAACTCTTCTGCCGGGAGATAGGAAAGGGGTCCCCTCCTCTCCGTAAAGGTAAAGGTAAAGGGACCCCTGACCATGAGGTCCAGTCGTGGCCGACTCTGGGGTTGCGGCGCTCATCTCGCTTTACTGGCCGAGGGAGCCGGTGTCCAGCTTCCGGGTCATGTGGCCAGCAGGACTAAGCCGCTTCTGGCGAGCAAGAGCAGCGCACGGAAACGCCATTTACCTTCCCACCGGAGCAGTACCTATTTATCTACTTGCACCTGAGAAGCTGGGACCGAGCAACGGGAGCTCACCCCGTCACGGGGATCCAAACCGCCGACCTTCCGATCAGCATGCCCAGGCTCTGTGGTTTAACCCACAGCATCACCTGCATCCGTAGAGCAGCCTTATTTCCAAAAGGGGTGACCTCTGAAGGGGGCCAGGCTCCCTGCAACCACCAGTCCTGACCAGTATGATGATGGGAGTTGGACTGGGCACCAGTTTGGGGAAGGCTACCACGGAGAGCCAGGGAGTTTCTGTTGCTGGGAAATGAAGCGGTTCTGAGAAAGGTGTGTGCTTGCGGTGACTGCAAAGGGAGACACACCCACCCCATGCCAAATTCCAAGAAAGGGTGTTTCCAAATCAGGACTCGAACCCATTGCTTCAAGTTAGAAGGAAGGAGATTCCGGCTTGATGTCAGGAAGAGCTTTCTGACAGACGGAGCCGTTTGTGTGGGTTGGAAGGCGGTGTATTCTCCTTCCTCAGAGGTTTTTAAGCAGAGGTTGCTTTAGCTGAGATTCCCGCATTGTAGTGGGGTTGGGCTGGATGACCCCCCAAAGGTCCCACCCACCTCTACAGTTCTGTGATTCTATCATAATAAGAAATGGCATTGTTTGGCTCTGTTTTGCCTTATTGGACCATTCCTCACCTTCAGTAGCAGCAGGAGACAAAAATCGCCCAGAGGCAGTGTGGTACAGTGGTTAGAGTACCCTGCAAGGAGCTGGGTGTAAAGGTAAAGGGGCCCCTGACCATTAGGTCCAGTCGTGGCCGACTCTGGGGTTGTGGCGCTCATCTCGCTTTATTGGCCGAGGTTTTGAATTGTTTCTTTAAATGTAAAGATAAAAAAATTCCTTCCAGTAGCACCTTAAAGACCAACTAAGTTAGTTCTTGGTATGAGCTTTCGTGTGCATGCACACGTCTTCAGATACACTGAAACAGAAGTTGCCAGATCCTTCTATATAGTGAGAAGGTGGGGAGGGGTATTACTCAGAAGGGTGGTGGGAATGGGTGATTGGCAGATAGCTGTGATGAGCCTGTTGAGGACTCTTAAGGACTGCAATAGGTCTTACAGGAAAAGGCAAGGGGTGAGAAGGTGAAAAATGGCTTTGTCATGTATAATGAGATAAGAATCCAATGTCTCTGTTCAGACCAGGTCTCTCCATGGTTTTAAGTTTGGTAATGAGTTGCAATTCAGCAGCTTCTCTTTCCAGTCTATTTCTGAAATTCCTTTGTAGTAAAACAGCTACTTTGAGATCTTGTATAGAATGTCCTGGGAGATTGAAGTGTTCTCCTACTGGTTTTTCTGTCTTGTGATTCCAGTTTCAGTGAATCTGAAGAAGTGTGCATGCACACGAAAGCTCATACCAAGAACTAACTTAGTTGGTCTTTAAGGTGCTACTGGAAGGAATTTTTTTATTTTGACTATGGCAGACCAACACGGCTACCTATCTGTTTAAATGTAAAGGTTCATCATTGTTCCACCCGATGTGTACGTCTTTAAGGGGCCAGAGCAAAATAACGAGACCCAGCTTTACCGCTGTGAAACATAGCAGGTGCTGCTGAGTTGTATTGATCAAGCTGTGTCAGCAATTGGGTCTAGTATATAAGGAGCAGCACCTAGCTCTCCCATTACCCTGGGGGAAGGGTTGGTGGTTGGATCTGGTTTGTTGTTGATGTATTTAGTGCATAAGGAGTTTTTGTTTTTGTAATTAAAACCTTGTTTAAGTAGCTTTTTGAGTCCCTTTTTAATGCACGGTCTCCCCAGCAAGCTCTCTGCAGCGCTACCTTACTGCAAATAGCCAACACGAGGGAGCCAGCATACAGCTTCCGGGTCATGTGGCCAGCAGGACTAAGCCGCTTCTGGTGAACCAGAGCAGTGCAAGGAAACGCCGTTGACCTTCCCGCCGGAGCAGTACCTATTGATCTACTTGCACTTTGACGTGCTTTCGAACTGCTAGGTGGGCAGGAGCAGGGACCGAGCAACGGGAGCTCACCCCGTCACTGCGGGGATTCGAACCGCCGACCTTCTGATCGGCAAGTCCTAGGCTCTGTGGTTTAACCCACAGCGCCACCCGCGTCCTAAGGAGCTGGGAGAGCAGGGTTCAAATCCTGCGTTCAGCCACAAACCTTTCTCTGTCTTTCTGCAGTTCATGGAGAAGAATGGCTACTTGCCAGGGTGGCTATGATCTGTCTCCAGAGAGGGCATTGATTCTGAATGGGCTCATTCACTACGAACCCCAAAATTCAGGATCCCGTGCAAATCTATGCCAAAGTCTTGCAGGGTTTTTTAGGGGTATTTTGCAGCGTTTTGGAGCTCCCCGCAAACCGAGTTATTGCACACCCTCCGGAATTTCTCCTCTTTAAAACAGGCACGTCCTACTGACCGGTTTGCAGCGGGTTCCAAATTTGGGGGGGGGGGGGTTCGTAGTTAATGTCAAGAACGAACCCCGTGTTTGTAAGTCTCGTTTGCTCAGCTTGTGGGGCTCTGCAAAACTTGGGGGTTTCGCTGAAAAATGCTGCAACCCCCCCGCCCAAAAAACCTGAAAATATTTGGCCCAGTATTGTGGGGTATCCCACATTTTGGGTTCATCGTTAATATCGAGAACGAACCCCGTCTTTGTAGTATCGTTCGATCAGTTTGTGGGACTCTGCAAAATGTGGGGGTTTCGCTGAAAAGGTTACTGAAAGAACCCACGGAAGGAAATTTTAGGCTATAAAAGGATCTTGTGTAATATTCTGGTATTTGCAAGAATGTTTTCCTGTGAACGAACTTGTAAAACCAAACCAAACCAAACCAAACCAAACAAAATAAAATAAAATAAAATGGAGAAATTGGATGGAGGCGGGATCCCGTGGAAGCAAAGAAGATCTTTATTTTCTGTGGCAAACAAGAGTATACCCCAGCCGTGCAAGGAAGTAAGAGAGGCCCAGAATAACAAAGGGCAAACCCTTTTAAAGACTGTCACCCACAGCTTAACCAAAACACATCGCCGACGGAGGTGGTCTCCAACAGAAATTTGAGAGCGCAGCTTCTCTCCTGACCAGTGGCACGAAGGGGCACCCATATTTTGTTATCATCGTGGGTGCCCGTCGCCTGTCTCTGCGTGCGGTCGAGATCCCTGCGTATTAGAATGTGTGGACGCACTTCTGAGCATGGGAAGAGTTCCTTAACCAAGTGACCGTCCAGTGTGTGTCCAGGTCTCCGATCCTAGTCAATCGAATCCTTTCTTAGTTGACACCTGGGGGGGTAGGATTGCTGCAAATCTGGATTTTCCTGGGCGTTGCTGGGATTTCAAAGGCGGAACAATGTTGGGGTTTGCCTTTAAAAAGCTCAACAATGTTGGGGTTTGCCTAAAAGAAATTCAACAATTTTAGGGTCTTCCTAAAAAATGAAGCTCAGCAATGTTGGGGTTCACCTAAAAGAAGTTCAACAAATTTGGGGTCTTCCTAAAAAATGAAGTTCGACAATGTTGGGGTTCACCTAAAAGAATCTCAACAATTTTAGGGTCTTCCTAAAAACAGAAGCTCAATTATGTTGGGGTTCGCCTAAAATAAGTTCAACAATTTAGGAAGAGCAGTATTTGGACTGCGGAACTGCACAGTCGTGGGGGGCCAAGCCCCTCTTGAAACGGCCGTGCTGCAAAATTTGGACACCCTGCATGCAGACTGGAGGCGTAAGAAGCGAATAAACCGTATTTCTCCGCCGTGCCTCTTCAAAGGGACTGAGACCTGGGGTGAGAGCTGGGGACCCCTCTCCCCAAAATCTTGGGCAGAGAGAGGGGAAGGCACCCCCCATTTTTGTAACGATATGTTAGGTTGCAGCGATATCTGCGTTTCAGCCTCAGGGTTGGATTCGGACGCAACAGGTAAACCCCGCAACTGCTGGATTCGCACTCAAGACTGGTGGGTGTGGGTGGGTATGGATGCCCTCTGGTATCTCGCAAGCAGCTTTGCAGATGGAGGAGCGGCGGTTCGGTCGACGAAGCAGGAAGAAGGTTTTTTAAAAGAGAAAAAAACACAGCCCGGAAAAAAAGGAAGTTTTCTTCGGGTGCTTGCAAGTGCAAAAGCCAGAGGAACTACAGGAGACTGCAGAGGACTCCAGGTGCTATGAAAAGGAGGAGGGAAGGGATAAGGAAGGAAGGGGAAAGGACCATGCCGGAAGATGTCTGTCGTGTGTTGAGCTGATCCTTCAAGCGCTGGATTGTTTTATCCTTTTTGTTTCTGCGGAAACAAAGAAATGGTTCGTCAGTCGGCGTCTCCTCCCTAAATGAGAGGACCAGCAAAGGCGAGGCCACTGCTTCCCTCTGCTGGAAGCAGGAAACTGGGCCAGGGATGGAGCCACCGGGAGGCCTCATCCTGCAGGGCTCTTCTTCTGAGTTGTTATTATTATTATTATTATTATTATTATTATTATTATTATTATTATTCCCTGCCCATCCCTGCCCATTATTCCCTGGTTTCCCCAGGCACTCTGAGCAGCTCCCAACAGGATATTAAAAACACAAAAAAAGTCAAACATTAAAATCTTCTCTAAACAGGGCTGCCTTCAGATGTCTCCTAAAAGTCAGATAGTTCTTTATTTCCTTGACATCTGGTGGGAGGGCGCCACCACCGAGAAGGCCCTCCACCGGTTCCCTGTAACCTCGCTTCTCGCAGGGAGGGAACCGCCAGAAGGCCCTCGGGAGATGGACCCCGGTGTCTGGGCAGAACGATGGGGGTGGAGATGCTCCTTCAGTGATACTGGGCCGTTTAGGGCTTTCAAGGTCGGCACCAACCCTTTGAATTGTGCTTGGAAACGTCCTAGGAGCCAGTGTAGGTCTTTCAGAACCGGTGTTATGTGGTCTCCACTCCCAGTCCCCAGTCTGGCTGCCGAATTCTGGATTAATTGCAGTTTCCGGGTCACCTTCAAAGGCAGCCCCACGGAGACCGCATGGCAGTAGTCCAAGCGGGAGATAACCAGAGCATGCACCACTCTGGTGAGACTGCGGGCAGGGAGGGTCTCATCCTGCATACCAGATGGAGCTGCCCTGGACACAGAACTGACCTGCACCTCCATGGACAGCGGTGAGTCCAAAATAACCCCCAGGCTGTGCACCTGGTCCTTCAGGGGCACAGTGACCCCATTCAGGACCAGGGAGTCCTCCACACCAGCCCACCCTCTGTCCCCCAAGAACAGTCCTTCTGCCTTGTCAGGATTCAACCTCTATCTGTTAGCCACCATCCATCCTCCAACTGCCTCCAGACACTCGTGTGGCAATATTCTACTAACTTGGTGGGGGCAGAAGGGCATTTAGGCTTGGCGGCTAATGATCAAACCTCCCCAGCCAGAGGCGCTCTACCTCTGGGGCTAAAAGCAGAAAACCAGGAAGGTGTGATCGACTTCTCGCCTCTCTCGGCCCTTTGGGGTTGCCAAAGCTTTGGGATTGCGGAGCTGAACGCCGCAAGGGTGTCCTTACGGAGGTGTAGAATTTTAATCGTCTGTTCTTACCCTTCTTGCTTGTAGATTTCCAGGCTGTTGTTCAACTGGGAGAGCTGATTCTGGAGACGGGTTTTTTCCTCTGGGAAATGGAAAATGAGGGCTTTTTAGATTCCCCATCGCTCATTCCCCCCCCCCTTTGCCAAGCCAGCAGCGGACAATCTATTATTATTATTATTATTATTATTATTATTATTATTATTATTATTATTATTATTTTCACAAATTTCGCACCTCGGTCTCGGAACCCCTGAGTTGGGGCTTTCCTGGGGGTCCCCCCTCCCACCCCCTGAGGATCGACCAGCTTTTACTCGCGACTGGGCCTTAAGACCTGTGGAACTCCCTGCTACATCAGGAAACCGAGCCTGATGAGGAACGGTCGAAGGAGCTGGGTATGTTTATCCTGGAAAAGAGGAGGCTGAGAGGAGATAGGGGAGCCACCTTCAAATATCTCTTATGGGCTGCCATATGCTTGTTTTCTCCTGCTCGGGAGGGCAGGACTCGAACCCGTGACTTCAAGTGACAAGGAAGGGGATTCCGACACAACATCTGGGAAAGATTTCTGACAGACGGAGCTGTTCGACCGTGGGACAGAAGGGAGCGGACTCTCCTTCTTCGGACATATCTAAGCAGAGTTCGGATGGGCACCTATCCTGGATCCTTGAACTGAGATCCCTGTATTGCAGGGGGTTGGGATGGATGACCCCTGGGGGTCCCTTTCGATGAATCAGGCCTCTCCCCACTCCTGGGCAAGAGGGACTCTTCTTTCCTCCTGGTCTCCCCATCCCAACTGCCAAGCCCCACGGGGCTTCTGAGACCCCCGCCGTTCAGTTATCTCACCCTCCAGATGTTTGAACGCTTTATCCTTCGCTTTGACGGCACCTTCCAGCACAGATGTGTTTTTCCTCGAATGTTTCTAGGGACAGGAAACGAAAAGGCAAGACGTTTGAGGTCGTGGGTGGGGAAGCTTTAGGGAAGAGTGGAGGCGATGGATGGATAATCTCTAAAATGATCACCCGTACACCGAGATGGATAGATGATAGATAGATGAGAGATAGATGATAGATGATAGAGAGATAGATAGATTGATAGATTGATAGATTGATAGATGATAGATGATAGATGATAGATGATAGATAGAGATAGATAGATAGATAGATGATAGATATAGATAGATAGATAGATAGATAGATAGATAGATAGATAGATAGATAGATAGATAGATACAGCAGACAGACAGACAGACAGACAGACAGACAGACAGATAGATAAAAAGTTAGATGATAGATAGATAGATAGATGATAGATAGATAGATAGAGACAGATGATAGATAGATAGATGAGAGAGAGAGAAATGAAAGATGAAAGATAGATAGATAGATATAGATAACTAGAGATAGATGATAGATGATAGATAGATATAGATATAGATATAGATATAGATATAGATATAGATATAGATGATATATAGATAGATAGATATAGATAGATTACCAGTTCTTTTTCGCAGGATGTCCAATTCTCTGTGGTCTTTGCAAGGCTCTGATTGACAGCTGCCAAAAGAATGGGAAAAAATTAAAAGTTGTTTAAGGGACCACTATAAGCAGAAGGAAACAGTGGCAGGGTTTTGATTTCCCTTGTAGTGTAACAATGACCATGGGAGATATGGATTGATAGAATTGGTTTGGAAGTTCGGAAGAAGATGCACTTTTAAATGTTTAAAATGGGACTACGGGGGCGGGGGGGGGGGGCGGGATTTCTTTATAATTTTGTATTGTCAAATCAAATAAAAACGATTTCCCCCCAAAAAAATAAAAAATAAAAAAGCAAGTTTGGATGGCCAGCTGTCCTGGATGCTTGAGCCGAGATCCCTGCATTGCAGGGGGTTGGGATGGATGACCCCTGGGGGTCCCTTTCGATGAATCAGGCCTCTCCCCACTCCTGGGCAAGAGGGACTCTTCTTTCCTCCTGGTCTCCCCATCCCAACTGCCAAGCCCCACGGGGCTTCTGAGACCCCCGCCGTTCAGTTATCTCACCCTCCAGATGTTTGAGCGCTTCCTCCTTCGCTTTGACGGCACCTTCCAGCACGGATGTGTTTTCCCTCCAATGTTTCTAGGGACAGGAAATGAAAACGCAAGACGTTTGAGGTTGTGGGTGGGTTACCTCTGGCTTCCGGGACGATGGAGATGGCCTGCCAATTAATTCTCTCTTTGTGGCCCCTGGGACTCTCCCCGGCCCCCACCTCACTACCCCTCCTTGGGCATTTTGGAAGGGCTGGGATGTGGCCTTGGACTCCGAACATGCCTCTTCCTTCCCTGGGAGGAGCATTGTGCGAATGGATGCGTTTGGAAGCGAACTTCCTGATCGGGGGCAAAATTTGCACCCTTCGCCCCAACCTGTGAACCGACGGACCCTGCTAAAATAGCGAAATTAACTGCCAAACTAAGGCAGCAGAATGATGACGTCTTTATGGAAGAATGGAGGCGATGGGTGGATGATCTCTCAAAAGATCACCTGTACACAAAGATAGATGATAGATAGATAGATAGATAGATAGATAGATAGATAGATAGATAGATAGATGATAGATGATAGATAGATAGATAGATGATAGATAGATAGATAGATAGATGATAGATAGATAGATAGATAGATAGATAGATAGATAGAGAGAGTGAGAGAGATGATAGATAGAGAGATAGATAGAGATAGGAAGATAGAGAGAGATGATAGATGATAGATAGATAGCGAAACAAACAAACAGACAGACAGACAGAGAAATAGATAGATAGATAGATAGATAGATAGATAGATAGATAGATAGATGATAGATAGATAGATGATAGATAGATAGATAGATAGATAGATAGATAGATAGATAGATAGATGATAGATTACCAGTTCTTCTTTGCAGGAGTCCCAATGCTCTGTGGTGTTTGCCAGGCTCTGATTGACAGCTGCCAGTTGTGCCCGAAGCGCATCGCTTCCTGTCATTTTGCCCTCGGCGGAGAAGGTATGGTTGTATCGCCGCGATTCGCATTCACTCCTTTCCTTTACGTATAAAACCAGGAAGGTGAAAAACAGGACCAAGGTGGCAGCCAAAGCGCAGACAGTGACCCAAAACTTCCATTTTGGCCTTGAGGGCTTCTTCGACATCTCGGTCGGGGATTGGGGACAACGCTCGTATGAGAACTGTCCACCCATCAGAAGCGAAACCCAAAAAGAGAGATCTCTGCTCCAGGCACAGGGCAAAACTCTCCTCCGTCCCCCAAACTCCACGCCTCCTCCAAAGCTATCTCAAAACTTTCTTTTCCTGTTATTCCGCTGACTTCGCAGAAGTGGCTCTGGCAATGGGAAGGATGAGCTCAGCTTTCAGAATCGAAACTTAACCAGGTCACCGTTTGCAAAAGAAGGGACTGGACCTGTTGTGGCCTGTTGGCGAAAGGGTTGGTTTGCTTTTCTAAAAACGAAAACGACTGGAGTGCCCTTTTGCCCGAAAAGCTGAAGTTTGCTGACCCGGTGCGAGGCAGCGGTGGAGGCCAAGCGTGGGTTTTTTGGGGGAATTCCTTGCTGTGAAGATGAGGAAAGTGATCCAGAATGCAGAGGTCCAAGTAAACAAACTATAAATTGACAGACAGACAGTAGCAATATATGAAACAATAACTAACATCCTTTGTACTCCAAATGATGTGAACAATTGTAAAACAAGAAATTAAAAATGACTTCCAATTAGTCTCACGGTACTTTATCTGTTTATTATCTTATACCACACAGTTACATATTTCTTGTATAAAAGGTAAAGGGACCCCTGACCATTAGGTCCAGTCGCGACCGACTCTGGGGTTGCGGCGCTCATCTCGCTTTATTGGCCGAGGGAGCCGGCGTACAGCTTCCGGGTCATGTGGCCAGCAGGACTAAGCCGCTTCTGGCGAACTAGAGCAGTGCACGGAAACTTCATTTACCTTCCCGCCAGAGCGGTACCTATTTATCTACTTGCACTGGTGTGCTTTCGAACTGCTAGGTTGGCAGGAGCAGGGACCGAGCAACGGGAGCTCACCCCGTCATTGCGGGGATTCGAACCGCCGACCTTCTGATTGGCAAGTCCTAGGCTCTGTGGTTTAACCCACAGCGCCACCCGCATACCTTATATATTTCTTATATAGTTTCTGTTAACTTCCCTACAAACTTATATTTCTGCAATGCAAGGTTCAGTCTAATTCTGCCAAGAAGTTTCCTTTTATACCGTAATTTTTAAAGAAATTCTTTACGTATGCCGCGACGGCCGTCTAGATATTGTTAGACCAGAGAAGGAAACAAGAAGCTGTCCCGACTTAAAAAGACTAGAAAATCAAATTACACTGGTACCTTGGTTCTCAAACTTAATCTGTTCTGGAAATTCCATTCCAAAACCAAAGCGTTCCAAAACCAAGGCGCGCTTTCCCAAAGAACGTCATGCAAAACGGATTGATCCGTTCCACATCTTTTAAAAACAACCCCTAAAACAGCCATTGGACATGGATTTTACTATCTAGCGAGACCATTGATCCATAAAATGAAAGCAAGAATCAATGTACTGTGCTATAAAATAAATAAGGCAGTATTGTAGATATAACAATTAAAATTAATTTTTCTTCTTCCCTGCACTGATGAAAGTCATTGTTTGGATGGGGGGCTTTTATCCATTTCCGGTCACGCAATCAATCAGAGGAACTGGGTTCCAAACAGTCATAAAAACAAATGAACCGGTTTAGCCCCTCTAAATCGAAACACCTTCCCTTCCAGATGGCCCTCTCTAGCCTCCCATCGCCAAGTTCAGGGGTGGGGTGTTCTCATTCGCTTGATGCAAACTACTAATAATTATAAATAGAATGTTGGCACCCTATATATAGAAATGAGCAAACCCGTGATATTTGAGGGAGCAGGTGGGGCCCATGACTTACATCAGAGGAGCCTACGCAACACAAAACACTGTTGCTGTTTTGTTTGTTTTTTATCTTATATTTTGGAAATATACATCCAGTTGTTTTTCCCCCTTTAATTTTTTTGGGGGGGCAAGAAAGTGGGGCCCTAAGCTAGAGCTTGCTGAGCTTATAGGCAAACCCGGCGCTGCCCGCAGCCGCCGCGGTGCGCGCAGGCGGAAGACGCACCGGCGCGCCCTAAGCTTCGCGCGGACAGGCTGCGCGAAAAGACGCACGGCGGCGCGCCTCGGCCGGCAGGAGGTGCTGTTGTGATTCTGGAGAGAGAGAGAGCGAGAGAGCGAGAGAGAGAGAGGGAGAGAGAGAGAGAGAGACACGGAGGGGGGGTGCGGTTTGCAAAGCGCGCAAGGACACCCACAGTCCGCGCTCCTCCATAACAAGCCAGCCTCTCCTCGCGCATCCACCGTCGGCTCTGGACAATAAGCGGTTGGCGGAGGGGATGCCTTGGTGCTGCTGCCGGCAGCCGCCTTCCTCCGCGGCCCCTGGGACGCGCAGATCTTGAAGGAGGAGAAGGAGGAATAGAGGAGGAGGAGGGGGAAAGGGAAAAGGAGAGCGAGATCAATCCAGCCCGGCAGCCTCTCTCTGTCTCCTTCCCTCTCTCCTTTGCACCTTGCAAGGTTGCCAGGCTGTAGGAGCGGAGCGCGCCAGCCGCGGCACGGAAAATGGAGTAAGTCTTCACTTCCCCGAGCTCCTTTCTCCTTCCCTCCTTCCTTCTGCGTGCACCTTTCTCCTTAACCCCCCCCCACACCCCACCCCAGCTCCTCGTTTGCTGTTTTTCTCCCTTGCTGCAAAGCCCATCTCGGCTGATGTTCGTCGGTGGTTTGGCGCACAGGCGGCGGTTGTGCGTTTGTTTGCGCGGACAGAGGGAGGGAAGGAAGGGGGAGACGTGGCTCTATGGACACCCCCAAATCCGAGGGGGCTCCCGCACCCCAGATTTGCCCTCCCTCCACCCTACCCTGCGTTTTGGGGTGGGGAAAGCAGAGCTTGCCAGGGGTCTGCGAACCCCAGTGGAAGAGATTTGGGGACGATTGGTGGGGTTCTGCATTTTGGCATGTGGGCGAACCATCTCCCTCACTTCTTTTTTTTTTTACCTGTTGTTTGTTTCCTGCGTGATTCTGCGTGGCAGCCTCCACCCATCTCCCCCCCCTTTTCCTCGCCCCCCTCCCCACTCGCCGTGACTCAGGCGGTTCCCAGAGGCTGCCTTCTCTCTCCACATCCTTCCCCGGTCCAATCCTGATTTTTTGGGTGGTTGTTGTTTTCAAAGGAAGGGCAGCCCCGGCGCGTTCAGAGAAGACGAGGCATCTTCCATTGGGCTTGGGCAGGGAGGAAGAGAGAGAAAGAGGGAGAGAGAGAGAGGAAGGAGGTCTGGCCCTGTCATTAGGCAGGCTGAGGAAAGATTCTCAGTCATCGAGGATGGAAGGATTGCAGGTGCTCAGAGCTGTCTCTCCGCCACGTGGGCCGGAGTCTCTTCCCTGAACCCAGCGAACCTGCCGGGCCATCTCCTGTGTTGAAAATCTAGCGGCCGGCCCTGTTGGGAATCGGGCGGGGAATCTTTTCCTTTGCCTCGGGCGGCAAAATGGCTTGGGACGGCCATATGGAATATGTTACTAGGCCTGTGGAAAGACCCGACGTGTGTGTGTGTGTGTGTGTGTATATATATATATATATATATATATGCAGGTTTTGGTGTCCTCGGGTGTCTTCCCGTGTAAAAGTTGGGGTGTCTAGGCGACGTTTCGACGAGGTCTCACTCGTCATCTTGAAGATGACGAGTGAGACCTCGTCGAAACGTCGCCTAGACACCCCAACTTTTACACGGGAAGACACCCGAGGACACCAAAACCTGCATTCCTGTACCCGTGAAAATCTACGAAAGCAAATATATATATATATATATATATATATATACACACAATGGTACCTTGGGTTAAGTACTTAATTCGTTCCGGAGGTCCGTTCTTAACCTGAAACTGTTCTTAACCTGAAGCACCACTTTAGCTAATGGGGCCTCCTGCTGCTGCCGTGCCGCCGGAGCACGATTTCTGTTCTGATCCTGAAGCAAAGTTCTTAACCCAAGGTAATATTTCTGGGTTAGCGGAGTCTGTAACCTGAAGTGCATGTAACCTGAAGCGTATGTAACCCGAGGTACCACTGTGTGTGTGTGTATATATATATATATTTATTGGGTCTGTCAAGCTCAAGACGCTCTGCTCTGGCCGGCAGCTGCCCTCCAGGGCTCCTTTCATTATTATTATTATTTTCGTTTCGGAGATTTCCACCCCGCCTTTCAAACCACGGTTCTCTTGAGGCAGCTCCCCACGAACAGAGAGCAACGTCGAAACAGCAAACGTCTAAAATGTTGAAAGCAAGCGTGAAACCATTTGTAGCAGCAAATATCAATACAGTGGTGCCTCGGGTTACATATGCTTCAGGTTACAGACTCCGCTAACCCAGAAATAGTGCTTCAGGTTAAGAACTGTGCTTCAGGATGAGAACAGAAATCGTGCTCTGGCGGCAGCTGGAGGCCCCATTAGCTAAAGTGGTGCTTCAGGTTAAGAACAGTTTCAGGTTAGGAACGGACCTCCGGAACGAATTAAGCACTTAACCCGAGGTACCACTGTATCTAAAATGTTGGAAACGGACACAGAGGTACAGATGAGACCGGCCACAGGCAGGATGGAATCGTAGAAAAAGAACAATTAAAAGCAAAGAGCGTCATTCATTGGAAATGCAGCCCTAAAAACTGGCCCTGTGTCATTTTTGAAAGGGGTCTGAATCCAGAAATCTTACTCCCTGAGCCCTCAAAACATTCATTTCGACTTCTGCATGGTGCTGATCTGTGGATGGTTTTGTAGAAAAAACATAAAACAAACCGTTGGGGTTTCCAGACCAAATATCTCGATGGAGGAACCTTCTCGGAAGTCCCTTAGGGTGGCACAGAAACAGGACTTCGGACACTTGGGCCCGGCGAGGGAACGACAGAGCTGCCTCTGTGAATCTCTCTCAGCGAGACCTCTGTCAGTACCGGCAACCAGGCCTTTGCCAGGATATTTCCCCCACCGGGGTCTTTCCCGGCCCACCCAGCGTCCTGGGATTCCCCCCTCACTTGAAACCTCGCCCGGCACAAATTTGGAAGGGGAGGCTGGCATGAATGGGAACACCTTGGCAGCTGGCTTCCCAGGACTGCCAGCTTTGACCCACAACCGTGGGTGCCCGGGGTGTGTGGGGGTGCCATGTAGCGGGCACGGCTCTGGCATGGCCGTATCTTACAGGAGGGCTAGTCGGGGGGGGGGGTTTGAAGCCTCCAGGGGGCTGCCACTGGCCTGTGGGTGCCAAACTGGGTGAAATAAAGCCTCGTTTCCCCCCTGGTGGCACCGAAATTTTGTGGGTGCCTCGCTGCTCCGTGGGGAATTTCGCGGGGGCCCAGGGAGTCGGCACCTCTGTAAAGCTGCTTATCTGCACCCCTGCCTTCTCCTTTCTGAGAACAAAAAAATAATTTGTGCTTTCCCCAGCAGCCTCCATGAGGATTTGCTGGCGCCAGGCAGAATCTCCCGGGAGATCTAGCCCAGAGAGTTGTCTTGACATCAGCATGCGCCAGAGAGCGAGAGAGAGAGAAAGAGAAGGATTACATTTCCACAGCAAAGGATTCGCTCCCAGCTCCAGGCCGGCGGCGGCTGTGGGGGTCTGGGGCTTTCGGCAACGTGTGTTCCCACCCCGAATGTTTGTGGACGTTCCGTGACGTAGTGGGAGCACATCCCCTGTTCCTTGGAGCCTCCCTCCTGTTCTGGAGAGATAGAAAAGAAAGGAAGCGTTTGCATCAGATTTGATACACTCCCATGGGAGAAAGAACCAGAAAGCCTTTAAAAAAAATAAAACAGGCCACAGGGTTTCTAATAAGGTCCCAGTTTTTCGGGTAAATCTTCCAAGGAGTTTTTTCCCCTGCAGGGGAGCAAATTAGGAACCCCCCCCGCTAATTTCCCGCAATTCGGTTTAGATCTCTGGTTTGTTTCTCGTAAGCGCCTTGCAAGATATCTTCCAAATTGTCTTGGCTTTTGACCCTGCCTATATTTCCACGTTTGTCCTGCTGTATCTAGAGGTTGCGTCTAGCGTGCCGTCGCAATCACGGGAGTTTGGTAGAGTTGCATGTGCCAAAACAGGCACAGGTCTCTGCCCCCGGCAGCTTACAGTCAAGATTTCTGCGCCAAGGAATGCGTTCAGCGAACCGAATGTTTGCATTAGGCAAAATTGCATAAGGAAACGGGTCTGTTTAGTACAAATAAGGTCCCATCTTCACTATGCATTCGAAGCAGCAACATAACAAAGTATCCCGGAAAATGTAGTTTATTCGTGGGTTGTTAAGAGAGGGATTGGTTTTCTTAAAACCACACTGGGAATTTTAGCTCCTGGAGATGAACCGGGGTGTGTGAGTCTGTCTCCTAACGACTCTCAGCACCTGTAAGAAACTACAGTTCCCAAGACTCTCTTTAAAGTGGCGTGGTGCTCCTTTAAACATATTGTGCATTTGGGGCCTGAAATCCTGAAGGATTTCCATAAGAATGCTTCTTTAAAAATGAGAAAAATGAGTGGAAGTGAAATTGACAGATTTGTCGTCCCCTTTTGGGCATTTGGCTGGGCAAGGTCACTGAGCATCATAACATATCTTAAAGGTAAAGGGACCCCTGACCATTAGGTCCAGTCGTGGCCGACTCTGGGGTTGCGGCGCTCATCTCGATTTACTGGCCGAGGGAGCCAGCGTACAGCTTTCGGGTCATGTGGCCAGCAGGACTAAGCCGCTTCTGGCGAACCAGAGCAGCGCACGGAAACGCTGTTTACCTTCCTGCCAGAGTGGTGCCTATTTATCTACTTGCACTTTGACATGCTTTCGAACTGCTAGGTTGGCAGGAGCAGGGACCGAGCAACGGGAGCTCACCCTGTCCCGGGGATTCGAACCGCCGACCTTCTGATCGGCAAGCCCTAGGCTCTGTGGTTTAACCCACAGCGCCACCCGCCTCCCTATAACATCTCTTAAGCCCCCGTAAATAAATTGAACTACTTTGGGTCAAACTTACTCAAGGCCTCCAGAGAAGAGGAATCTGCTAATTTCAGAGGCAAGTCAGTTCTAGACTTCATACTTTTAGGTTGTCCTTCCTGAAATCCCCTCCTTTTCCAGAATTTGGTGGTTTGGGACCTAACTTTTCGGGAGGAACAGAAAAACAAATTTATTCCTTCATTGCAAAGAAACTCTGGGGTCCCTTCCAACTCTTACAATTCTATGTGTAGGGGTGCCCCATTTTGCATCCAGCTCCACATGGCAAGGGACGCAGGTGGCACTGTGGGTTAAACCACAGAGGCTAGGGCTTGCCGATCAGAAGGTCGGCAGTTCGAATCCCCGCCACGGGGTGAGCTCCCGTTGTTCATTCACTGCTCCTGCCCACCTAGCAGTTCGAAAGCACGTCAAAGTGCAAGTAGATAAATAGGTACCACTCTGGTGGGGAGGTAAACGGCATTTCCGTGTGCTGCTCTGGTTCGCCAGAAGCGGCTTAGTCCTGCTGGCCACATGACCCGGAAGCTGGACGCCGGCTCCCTCGGCCAGTAAAGCGAGATGAGCGCCGCAACCCCAGAGTCGGCCACAACTGGACCTAATGGTCAGGGGTCCCTTTACCTTTT